ATATTCCTGGAGTTGTTTTCTTTCCACCGGTATCCGCAGCTTTTCTTTTATTTTGAGTGACCTGGTTTTAAACCATTACTAATTTTACACAACCTTTTGGTAAGCTAGCTTTAGCGTCGCACTTTGAACTCACGTTACGGCAAATAAACGGTCGTTTACATGCAGTACCTCTCGGACCACGAGGGGGCGCCCAGGGACCACCAGTGATCCGGGGACCACAGTTTGAGAAAGACTGCCCTAAGCTGAGTAAATGCTTTGCCACATCTCCAGTCTGCCCTCTTTCATTCAGTGACGTCCAACTGAGAAAAACTTCAGTGCTTTATGACAACAGTCAATTATCCAAGCTTACAGTGGTTCTTTACAAACCCAACGCCCAGTGCAAACATGCAAAAAGTAAAACTCATAATGCCCTAAGTTTTTTTTTTTTTTTTTTTTTTTAAAAAGGGGTTTTCCCCCCCCCCCAAAAAAAAAAAAAAAAAACAGTAAAAAAAACTACATAGAATATACACTGACTTGTTAAAACTGTTCAGGGCGGCTTGTTTTTGTGATGCTCATGCAGTAATGGGTTGTGATCTTTTTGTTTAGTTTGTCATGTTAAATTCTCACCTTCACTGACAAAACCCCCTTTAATCATAGAGCTAACAAATATGGTTACAAAAGATTAAAAAAATAAAATTAAATCTTCTATAGTGAATGTTGTCAGTCGTATTTCTAATAGATACATCACCGCTTCTGAAAATGCAATTTCTAAATGACTGATATATATTAAATATTTCTTGGTTAATTGAATGATTGAATGGAATGACCTTAACAGAATTTTTTTTTCTTCATGAGATTGTAAATATATTCAGGCACAATATTTCTGTCTTTGCATTAGAAAAATACTTCTGCTTACTTAACTCTCTAAATTTATTTATTTATTTTCACAATTAATGTAATACCTGATTTTGATAGATTTCTTTTTTTCTTTTTTTTTCAGTTACCTGACAAAATACAAATTCTGTGGAAGACGTTGGCAGGCCTTCATCGACAAAGGAGCCGAACATCTTTTCATACGGATCTGCAACGGCTCTGGGAAGCGTCAAGGGAGAAGCAACCTGTGCACCAGTACCTACCCGGTTCGGCTGCATGACCTCACTGTCACTAAGAGGGATTGGAGTTGCACAGTTGATGATCTCAGGAGTGAATATAGATATGTGACTGTTAATTGTGACAAAGTCATCAACCAATGCCTTCCGGTTAACTTTAATAGCAGCCAAATCCATATGCCAGATGATAAAGATGAAACCTGCAGGCCATAAACTAATCTCCGGTTTGAGTTCTGAAAACTTCTTCCAAGGTTTGGGAAAATGTTTTGCTTTGCTGTATATCTCCATATCAAGCTTTGGTTCAACTTTTTTGCTGGTTTTAGTTGAATTTATTTTGTAGACTCATCAGAGATACTGTGTGATCAGTGAAAGACAATGTACGAGTTACAGTTTTTAGTGTTGAGAAACTTTGTTGATGTATAACAAAGAGCGATTTTGTTCTGAGTGCTAAAAACAATAATGCTTTGCAAAACCTCTGAGTGTTTTAGTCCTAAGTTGTTTTTTCTAACCTAATTAAAGGTCGGAAAATTCAATTAAGATATTTACATGGGACAATAGAAATGTGACTAGACTTATCTACATCTAATGGCTCTCTAATTTACAGATAAACGAACCATGGGCAATATTTTATGTACTTTTGGATCCCTGATAAAAATCTATAAAGTACATCTTACAATCATGATAGTAAAAAGTTTTACATTTCACACAGCGTGCTGTGAACGACTTTTTGTGTCTCACTGATCGTTTAGCTCCAGATGTTTCCAAAGCTGTGCAACACGTTGCTTTGTTCTTTGCTTTGCACCAGTAAAGATCTAATAAAGTTCATAATCATTCATTCATCCTAGTTCTGCTGTCATTCACATTGATTTCTTTTTACATAAGCTCCATTGTTATTCAGCGTCTTTGTTCTCTTTTCAACTCGTTGGTTGGGTTTCCTGACAGAAAAGTCAAAGAACGGAGAGCAATCAAAACAATAAAATCACTAATTATAAAAATATTGATTCCTTCTTGTCATTAGAAACAGCGACAATCATTTTCTTTGCTTCATCACAAATAAAAAACAAAACTTTTCTGAATCTATGATGCTAACCACCTGCTTATAAAAGCCAATTACTGTTCAAAAGGAATAACCAACTTATTTACAGGGTAAAGTTCATAATAAACTATTGTTGTCATGATGACACCATGTAGCATCACTTTAGGCTTCGATTTCATCTGTGCGACACTTTTGGGTGTTTGTTTTTAACACAACATTAACATATTTAGTATTTTCTACCTAAATACTAAATATGTTAATTTAAAAACTGTTTTTATTTTTGTCTTTAACTAATATTCAAATTGGTTTGATGTTTTGACAAAGTTCAAACCAGGAAGGGAGGCGAACACTTCTTCACACCGCTGTAGTTTGATCACCACCAGGTTTTACTGACAGAGCTGTGGCATGTAGTACAATCTGATTTCAACATCAGACTTTACATTCAGTGGTGCGCTTATGTAATGAACCCGAAAAAAAAACAAACATATGATTTTCTTTTGTATGTTGCAGCATGTCAAAAATAATCATATTAATCAATTAGCTTATACAAAGGTTTAGATATTTGTTATTGAACTGGGATAAAAATTCACAGCTGATCATTTAATATGAAAATTGCATTTAATGGACCAAGTCAGGAAAAGATTTGGACTCTTGAAGCTGCTATTATTTTATTTATTAGTGTCAATGAAGCCCAAACACTCTGAGACTCTGAGCACCAAATCAAACGTTCAAATCTTTTGATTTGAACGTTTCAAATCAAATCTTTAAATGCTCTTAAAGATTTCGCGTAAACATTACAATTATTGCCTAATTACGCTCTACAACCAATTTTGTTTCCCTGGAAACGAGCATCAGTTTGACAGATTATCTTTGAAGCCAAATGGTAAACAATGACAGTGTTGTATGTAAAGTAGCTCACCAGATAACAGCTGGATGCTCCGCAGAGCAGAGCTGTCATGATGTTGCCACATTTCAGCTTCTTCTCATCATTTCTCGTCGGCCTGCTCTCCATCCGTCATCCAGAGCACATTGGCGCAAATACTGTAAAAATTCCTTAGAAATATTAGCAAATTGGCACAGAAAAACATCTATGATTTTGATTACAAAAAAACACAAAAATAATCCCGGAGGAACAGCTATTTATCAATAGTTTAACTGTTTAATGGGTAATATCAATACATTCAGGCACAATTGGCCCTTTAAGAACACTCAGATTCTTGATATGGGTCAAAATGAAACTGAGTTTGACGCTTCTGGTCTGGAGAAATGTATCCATGAAGATTCACAGGCGTGAAATTAGACCGGATAATATTTACAGGTTTTTTTCCTTTTTCTAATCTTCTTTCTGAATCTGTTTTTGTTACATGATATTTTATCTGATTTTCATTTAATTTAATTTAATTGTTCTATTACATTTTGAAACCAAACCCTTATTTCTCTAAACTCTATTTGTTATTAGCCCTTGAAGGGACCTGTGTTTTCTTACACAACCGGTGCTGCCCACAACGTTTCCCCAACAGCAGTTACACACGTTGCGGCTCGACCACAAGTGAAACTATTTCCAGGGTTTGCACTAAACAGAAGCATTTTGTAACTTGTGTCACCGTGACAGGCATGAAACGCAGGACATCGGCTAAAAATGGTTTGATTGGTCGTTGGGTGAAAAGTTGATCACACCTGAGTAAGAGTAGGAGTATAAAAGAAGAAATATTTGCAGTTTTCCAGAGATGAACTACAACTAAGAAGCAGATCGTCTTCATTCATGGAGACTGACTGATCGGAGGAGGTGAGCAACGACTTTTCAACACGGGGGTAACAACTTAATGCTACACAACTCTGAAAACAATCAGTTGGCAAACTGATCAGACACAAATTCAATAATTTAAATACTTTAATTGACCCAAAACAGAAGTAAAACTTCCTTCTGGGATGTTCTTTGGGCATTGAAGCTCCAAGAAGGAGCTTTGGGAAACTAGGTGGTGGATTGTGCAAACAAGCGTTAAGGACGCCAAAACACGCCGTCTGAAGAACTTTAGTGACGTTGAAAACTCTCTTCATTAGGGGAAAAAAAAAGATGCAGACTAAAATGAGAGTATCATCATAAGTTGATCAAAGTCACTGTTCCTTTTTTCAATGGCAATGTTTTACTTTTTTAAGTTTTTGTTTTATTTTTTTCCAATTCCAAATCTCTTTCTCAATGTCAATGTAAGCTGTCATCATTTTAGCTCCGTACACACACAGATGGTTGCCACGGGAAACACAAGGATTCCTCCGACACACATGGCATGAATCACAGCCACAGGTGTGTTTTTGAGGAGGCCAGAAGCCAGGGGTGTCCAAGGTGCAGTTCGATGACCATTTGAGCCCTTTGGACTGGTTTCGTTCAACAATGACACGAATAGCACAGACTCCTAAAAGTAAAATTTTCAAAAGAATTACTCAAATAAATGTAATGAGTAAATGTAACTAGTTACTACCCAACTCTGCATTTGTACCACTAGTGGTAAGAGGTTAATGTACCACCGTTAAACTACAAGCAGCACATGCAGGAAACCCACTTCAGATAGTCTGACAATTCTGCCTTCAATCTACAGCTGAGCTGAGAGCAATGAATTCTGGGTACTCCACTGAAGCTTACCCTGCGGAGACGGTCGGACTGCAGGACAGGAGAAAAGATGGCTTCCCTGGACAGCCTTATCGTTTTACATCAGGAAATAAATAAAGCTTTTTCCCATGCCATATTTAATGTTTGATGTAAAAAAAAAATCACATTCAACACTCTATAAGAACTAGTGTATAGGATTACTGAGTTCTTTACTTGTAAAAGAAAAACTGGCTTCTTATTTTCATGCGTATTTTTGCTGCTTTCAGTCCAGAGACCGCAAGTTGGTTGGAGATTAAGATGGTGCCCGACGTTACGCCTCCACTCCTCGCATCCTCAACATCGTGGCCACATTTCTGGCATCTATAGCCGTCTTTATTTGCATCGTTGTGCTCATTGCAGTGAGCAGTCCGTTTCAAAGGTATCATTATGGGTGAATGAGAAGAGCCGCAGTGAGAGTCGGCTTTTTAATTTCTTTTCTGCTGCTGCTCAGCTCTCACTCTCAGAAGCTGGTTTCTTTACCAATGTGTACAAATATTTGTTTATATTCTGCTGATGTCAGAAAAAAAAAACAGTTTTGCAATTGGTGCTTTTCCAGGAAATAAGAAATTAAATTAAAATCATGTGAATAAGCTTGCTCATTCAAAATAATGGCAGTGAGGAGTTACATGAGATATAATCATAATTCAGCCGTGGCGCTAGCGCTCATCATCTGTCAGCCAATCAGAGGAGACATGGCCGTCTTATTCAGCTGTTGAAGCGACAAGCCCAGCCTACTTGGGAGTGGCTATGCATGTGGCGTTTAGAGTTTTTGCACTAAATACATTTTCACGTCCAGGAAATTATTGTATTTATCCATCCATTCATTCACTCACTATAAATTGCATATTTTAACCACCTTGCTTCAAGCAATGGGTAAATAAAACAGCTGAAGCCCAGAGAAAAGCTTTGCAAAAGTCTTTTGTCAAAAAGAAAGTCTGATTCCTTGGAAAAATAGAAAATCAATAGAGATGTTGAAAATGTAAACACTGGAGCTCATCATCAAAGATGAATCTTTAAAGAACAGGAAAAACAGTGAATGTTTCAAATAGCAGTTTCAATCAATCAATCAAATTTTATTTGTATAGCACATTTCAGCAGCATGGCATTTCAAAGTGCTTTACATAATTAAAATAAAAACAGCATGTGAGAAAGAGAAAGAAATTAAAAAAAACATAATTAAAACGTTAACAGTGAGCAGTTTGAAGAAAAAACATTTAAATTTAAATGTGCTGAGGGTATGAATACTTTTGGGCTACACCAAATGCCCAGTGTTACTTGACTCAGTGGAAAATCCTGGCTTTCAAAAGTGGAATCTCTCCAGATAACGACAGATAAAAAATCCCACAATTGAGCAACTTAGTCAAACACATTTAGTAGCTCAGGAAAATAACCTTCTGTGGAACGGTGACTGAAAAAAAAAAGAGCTTCAGGAACAAAATTAAATGTAATCAAATAATTTTACAGCATCCACAAATGTAACAATAAAATTTACACTGCAGATTTCTGTTGTATATTTGATACTTGATGGAGATTGATTTTGTACAACAAGGCTGTATATGAGGCACATCTAAAAGAAAACAGATTGTCAGTTTTTTTAAAAAGTGAAACTTGATTTAATAAACACAGAGTGAAATATTTCAAGCCTGTATTTATTGTAATTTTGATGATTATGTCTTGCAGATGTGAAAACCCAGAATTGAATGAGTAAGATTTTTTTTTACATAAGATCAATGGGATATTTTAAACAGAAATCTTAAAATTTTGAATAATATTATTACTACCGACTGACTTCAATGCTCAAGATCATGTTCAAGATCCAGCGTCCTGAAACTTCTAGCTGTGTAAATCAGTGATAAGTTGTTTGATTTTATTCTGTAAGTGTTGTTTATTGTTCTAGAATATTCCACCTCACTACACCGGTATTCATAAAGCAACACCCTGATAGAGATAAAAAGCTGCTTGGTTATAAATTTCCTGGTAATCAGGCAGTGTCAACGCTTGGTAATATTAATCAAAATGACTGACTGGTTAATGACTACCTTTGAAAATTTTTAATAGTTAACTATAGCAAATTCGAGCTTATTGTTATAAACAGACAGGAATAGTGTGGTGATATAATTTTATCCTCCAGCCTATTTTAAACTACATTAATTATTTTTGTACCTAACTATTGATTTAAGGTTCAAAATTGTATTCATTATAATTGTTGTTGATATTTTTATATTGATATTTTTATGTGCATCTGTATGAAAACTTAGTACTAACACTGATTTTCAAAAGCTTTTTCAACACTGCAAAAGGACTGAAAACGTAAACACAATGTGATTTCTCAGTAGTTAACTATTAACCTCAAGCTTTACAAAAACACCAAACAGCATCAAGTCAGAGAACTAGAGGCAGCATTCGAGAACCAGGATGAATTTCACACTGTGGTTGTTACTGTGGTTCTGTGGTGTAACTTTGGGTCAGGAAGGTTTACCTCAAACAGACGTCCCTGCTGAAACTGGGTCATGCTTTCCTGATATGTGTAAGTTTCTCAAAGAGTTTGGAGCCATGAAAGAGAAACAAGAAACCATGAAAGAGAAACAAGAAGCCATGGAAACGAGCCTGAAGGAGACTGAAAACCACATTCTAGAACTGAAGAAGAAAGGTAAAGTCTGCTTTTGGACATTTAAAGACATATATCACTAAATAAATGGAAACATTTACAGCTATTTTTATATATATCTTTTTTTATTTAGAAGCATCCAACATAGCATTTAGCGCTGCAGCTGGTGGCAGTGGACACATTGGACCCCTCAGCACACAGACATTAATCTACAGAAGAGTAATAACCAATGTGGGCAATGCCTACAATCAGCACACAGGTGAGTCATTACATTATTTAAATTATATATTTCTAGATTAGAATACCTGTAGTATCAGAGTCACTAGAGTAGGAGTTTGTGAACTCTCCTACTGTGGACATCCAAGACTTTAAGACACCATAATACTCTCAAAAGAAATACTATAGAACATCCAGTGTTGAGTACTTCCTCGATGCAGGAGGCTAGATCTATTCTGAAGCTAGCTACTGGTCAAACTATTAACAGGAGGGCACCGATAACTGAACGGCTGCCACTGTCAAATGAGAAGGAGATTCTGCTAGCTTTGAAGAGGCTAGTGACTAGCATGCCTAGGCTGGTCACTCAATAGTTTTCTTACTTCCTCTGCTGTCCATTCGCAGAGAAAAGCTAACATTAGCATTGGGTAGGCTAACTTGACTATGTTGGTCACCTGAGACTTGTGACCAACATTGACGTTTTCTTTAAAGAAAGTGGCTCTAGCCATTGTTTTCCGTTGCCGGCCTATTTGTCGGATGTGATGGACGCGCTTGGCGAGTCCTCAAATCGCATCGCGCTATACGCTCGAAATACACCATGATGGACCGTGAGGAGCCTCCACTCCTAATTCTTCAATTTGTGACACTAATTACGCTTGGTGTCACCCTGGATCACAGTAAAAGTCACAAGAACACATCAATGAATGTAATGATACTTACAGATATTGCACACCAACTATTTTTTAAGAAAAAAACAAGTCATGGCTGGCCAGGCTACGCATGCTATTTGCCAACTTAACCAAGGCTAATGCTAGCCTATCTGTGCTAATGGATAGCAATCCATTTGGTTTACAGCCAAGGCATGCTAGCCTAGGCTAGACCATACTCTCTAAAGCCAATGCAAATGAGTAGCCTCCTTTTATAAAAATACCGAATCATGCTTCATAATATTTATTCAACCTAAATCTTGTTTTTCCCAGGTATCTTCGCTGCACCAGTTCCAGGCATATACTACTTCACCTTCTTTTATCATGCCGGAGGATCACAAGTTGTGAGTCTAGCCCTGATGAAGAATAATGAGGTTGTTGTGACCGCCTATGACCACAAAACGTCGCACGATGGGGCTGATAATGGAGGCAATGCAGCTTTCCTGCAACTGCAGCAAGGAGACCACGTGTACATGAGGATGGGTGCGAACAGTCATGTCTGGCAGGACAATCACATCACCACTTTCAGTGGCGTTCTTCTGCGTCCACTCTGACATAAATTATATAAGTTATGCTATGATATGCTGAACGTTAAGCTTTTTAAGAAATTTCTTGTCTCCAAGCTAAATTTTCTGTGTTGATAACCCTTGAGTCATTTATTGTATGTGCACGTCGGAGTTAATCAAGAAGTCAAATTGTACAATTTCTTTTTTTTACTTCTGATTTTCAGTCGCAATTCTGACATTTTAAAGAACGGTGGAGAAAACAAAAGAATGTCTATAACATATTTATTAGAAGAATATGTAAATGGATCTGATTGTACTTGTATATATTGTTTTTTTAAGTCTTCAATGGTTAGGATAAGACAAAAAGGCCAAAATCAATGTGGTGCATCCTAAATGAATAAATTATTCAAGGACAAAAATCTTTTATAAGTCACAAGAATTTGTAATTAAACACATTCTGAAGGACATGTTTGTTTGGAACTTATTTGTCCTTGGTTTGAAGTCAAGTGTGTTTAATGAATATAAATATTGAGTCTGAACAATTTTCTTGCATGTGTATTCATGAAGTAGCATTTAACCACACAAAGAAAACACATCCAGAAGGAGGCGCTGTTGATAAAGAAGAAAGTTCATGGCTTCCTGCTGAACTTGCTGTTCTGATCTCTAACATCTAAAATTCTGTATTTTGCAAAGAGGAAACTGAAAATATAAAAACACACCAAAAAAACATGAAGCTCAGCTTTTCCCACTAATCGCAGACGATCTCCGTCATTCCACTAAACTTTACAATTCAGAGTCAAGAACTAAGCTTGTATTTCTCTGTCCAGTCCAACAGAACCAACACAACCACCACAGTCGCTTCATTATCCTCAAACTCTTCCACAGTCTAATAACCTTTTGCATAGATACAAAAAACTACTTTAATATATGTAATCAAAGTATTTGGTTTTGGTTATCGATTTTCAGGTCACTAAGGTCAAGTTAAGCAATTGAAGACATGTCACAACCCTCAGGCCTCTACGATAAAGCAGGTCTTCTGAGCAGTGCTCTATGTAATCAGAGCATATTGCTTTGTGGGTGGGCTCTACAATCCAACCAATAATCAACATCAGACAGAAAGCATTAGAATGGCTTAAAAGGAGCGAGAATCAGGATTGCTGTCAGTCCGAGTTTTCAAGACAGAATCAACATGAACTTGACTTTTTGTGTCCTAGTGTTAATCTCTGGTTTAACTCTGGTCCAGAGTGTTGTTGAAACAGAAACGTCTGCTGGAACTCAGTCATGCTGTCCTGACTTGTCACTCTTCCACCAAGAGCTCAGTGCTGTGAAAGCAAAACTGGAAGCTGTAGAAACAAAACTGAAAGAGACCGAAAGCCAGGTTCTGGTGCTTAAAGAGAAAGGTAAACTCTCTATTTGTTTTACTCAGTTATTTATAACTGTTTGAACCATATTTAAATGATTTTTATTTTTGTCTAGAAACACTGAAGGTAGTTTTCAGTGCTGCAACAGGTGGGAATGGAGCCATTGGACCCTTCAGCCAACCCCAAACGTTGGTCTTCAGAACCGTGATAACAAATATAGGCAATGCCTACAACCAGCACACTGGTCAGTTCAGCTGATCATAAAGCTGTATGTAGCTTAGCATTCAAAATCTTAAAGTCAGAGAAAAATGTGAATCTAAATAAATGTAGTTAGCTTGTCAGAAAATTTAGCTAGCTGTCACTAAGTTAAGGAGTAAAAGCCCAGGAAGTGGAAGCCATTAAGATTTCACTTTTCTTCAGAAATGTGAAGGAACATGAAGTCCATCTCACTTGTTTGACTAAAACTTTGCTCCCACAGGCGTCTTCGTTGCTCCCGTTCGAGGAATATACCACTTCGCCTTCTATTATCATGCCTCAGGATTACATCCTTCGTACGTCCACCTGATGAAGAACAGCGATATTGTTGTGTTGAGTTCTGACCAGCAGACGGCGAATGACGGGGCTGATAATGGAGGCAATGCGGCTCTTCTGGAGCTGCAGCAGGGAGACCAGGTCTACGTCCAGCTGGTTGCCAACAACCACGTCTGGGGAAACAACTACCACACCACGTTCAGCGGCTTTCTGCTGCATCAAGTCTGAAAAATGACTGAATACTGATGTAAATGACTTAAGCTCATTGAAGAAACAGAAAGCAATTACCAGTTAGTTTTCTTTTTGATTTGCTAATCCATTGAAAGTATATTTTATTAAACCGAACGAAATATAACGCTACAACAAAACTTACTCCCACATTCCATGAACATCACTCGTGAGACTAGTGAAGTCTTTACTTCTCTTTACTTCCAAAAGTGGTAACTTTAGACTACTGATTAGCCACAAAATAAATTAAATTAAAAATGCAAAAATTTTAATAATGTGAAATTTTGTCTTGTGAAGTCTGTACATCATTAACATCCAAAATAAAAGACTAAGAACTGTTGCCTTGTTGAAAGAAAAACAAACAATTTCTGTTTTGTTGACCAATTTTTTACCATTCTTGACTTGTGGCCAGGGACAGAAGTCATTTCAAGGGTCTCAAATGGTCCCTGGGCTCCTGCTACAAAATACATATTTCATTTGCATTATACAGTAATTCAAATTACTACAAGTAATGTGTATTATGATATACATATATGTATGTGTAAACACACATACATATATGTATATCATAATATATGTGAACTGCATGTGTGTTTTGTGGTGGGGGAGTTGATTGATGTATTTTTACACTTTATGCTATTTTTTGACGAAATAATCTTCAACACGCAATGTGTTTTTTGACATCATATATATATGTGAAATTTACTGGAGGGTTTTAATAGCTACTTCTTTTACATAGTTTCATTATAGTTTTAGAAATGCCTGACATTTCTGCTTTTTTATTTACTTTTAAATATGGTTTTCAAGACGTCTAACAATGGACTTCAGTCTATCAATTAACCCTTGTCTTTACAAATGGGGTCCAACCGACCCCACACCCGTAAACCTTGAATCATTTGTCTCAGTCTTTGCACGCACAAGGGTTAAGTACAATTCAGCTGGAAGTGTTATAATAGAAAACATCAACAATAAAATGTCTAAAGCATTAAGTGGTGTGAAGTGCTGTTAATGATAATTTCACACAGTATCGCTATGGCTCATCATCTCAGTCCAAAGCTCCAAAGAACTGTTGTAAATGGCATCATAGAGAAGCATGGTGGTTATGACATGCTCAAGAGGGATTGTTAAAAAGGCTAGGAGATTGTTAGAGTCAAGCAGGTGTCGTCAGAAGTGTCTCACCTGGTTCTAAGTGGAAAAGAACCAGGTTGTTGCTCAGTGGTCCAAAAGTCCTTTTTTTTTCAGATGAAGTTTTCTGATGTTTGTTCCAGCTGAAATTTGAACCTTTCTGTTGCGATGCCAAAGGTATCAAGAGTCGGTTCAATGACCGTGATGTTGCTGTACATGTTTGACCGAAGCCCCATAGAGAATCTACAGTGTTCTGTCTGGAGCAGGGGTCCTGAAGTTCAGGGATTCAGGTCTGGTTTTCTGAAACTTTCAAATGTCTCCCTGGTTCAACACATCTGAATTCAATGGCTGAATTACCTCCTCACTAAAAAGTCACGTTCTCCAGAGTCCTGCTGATGAACTCATTATTTGAAGACCCTCGTCGAGAGGAGGATGAGAGAAACCAGACCCAACAATACAGATGTGCTGAAGGCCAACATCTAATACTTCACTGGCCTGAATCTTTTGCACATTTAAAAAAAAAACTTACTTATATGTAAATCCTCAAAGTAAGCAAAACTATAATAAATAAAGGTATGCGCATCAAGATTATAGAATAAACGACATAGACAAACGATGAATGGATGACATCAGGATTATGACCTGCAACAGTGGCTGTTTAGACCAAAATTACCAGTTAGTTTTTCATGGGGGCACTGGATAAAACCATGAAACAAAGCAAAAACAAACAAATAATGCCTCATCCCATGCAGTCCTTAACCTAAACATATGGCTTAAGCTTCTTTGTTTTGAACAATTTGGCAAAAGATTTTACAATGAGAGCAAAGGGTCACAGAAAGCATT